TGGAAAGACGACATGGCTCCAGAATCCACACAAATTTGAATGAAAGTGTATTCCATAGCATTTAAGTTTATTTGAAAAGAGCAATCCCTAGAGTTTCTTGCTTGTTCTTCTCAGGGAGGTCAGCGTAGTGAACGAGAAGTAGCTTAAATGTGACGTTTTCAAGTGTATATTTATTTTATCTATGAAGTAAATAATCTTTGACTTTGACTTTGCATCAATTATGTACCTACACATGTATACACCGAAACACATGTTTAATAATGAAAGTTACGAATATACCTTTATAAGAACGAGGATTTAAGGGTCCATTGCCGAGCAAAAATTGTATTTATTACATTTTATCTCTTGTCTTTTGTTAACTAACCAACTATCTTCTTCGCTTTATGCGATCTTGGTGTCTTAACGGCAGGTACAATATGTGTATGGTGGTGAATTGATGACTACAAGTATCGTGTCGTGAAAGACCTTAAGAATTAATGTATTTTTGTGCCGAACTTAGTTCTGTTTTCACGCGCACTTTTGGCATTGTGAGCACTACGAGATAATCTATTTATCGAAAGCGATTCATAATTTTCAATTTAACTGTCCTCTGGATATATATACCTATTTATTACCAACATTGTGTTTCAAGTTTTTAGGCATAAAATGTTGCTTATTTTCAGTGTTACATAATCTATTGTTTGTATCCGTTATTTAAGTATACGATGTACATAGCAAAATACCTCGTTTAGTATTTAAGTTAGGTATATACCAATCAAACCTCGTGTAAGTACCTATATTAGAAGGAAAGTTTGTGGATCCATCGCAGACTAAAAAATGTATTCCAGTCTCGCTCTCACTTTCTCTCTCCTCTTTTGTCAAATATTAACCAATTCATCGCTTTTTATACGATTTTGGTGTATTAGCCACAAGTACTATATGGTACGGTGGGGGGTGACTACAAGTATCGTGAAAGATTATTTAATGGAATGTTCTGAACTTAGTTCTGTTGTCTCGCGCACTTTTGATATTCTTTGTATTACGACTACGACATAATCTATTAGTCGCATGCGAAATATTTGTTATCAAAGTTCTGAAATGGATTCGCTGTTTTAATTTATCTATCACCTGGATGTTTATATGTATTGGCTCTACAATGCTTCAAGGTACCAGGTATCGATTGTTACTTATTTTCAAAGTCTTACAAAATGATTGTTTATATCGATTGTTCAAGTACCCCGCATAGTAGTTACTTTAGGTACACGCCAGTTAAATCTCGTATAAGTACTTGCGTGTGTTATTAGTACAAAAGTTTCTGGGTCCATCGCAGAGCAAAAATTGTATTCCATTTTCTCTTTCCTCTTCTGTCAACTATTAACCAACACTTCGCTTTTCATACAATTTTGTACAATATGTGTAGTTTGACAAATAAAATATGGTGCGGTAGGTGGTGATTTCAAATATCGCGAAAGAAATAAAAATAAGTCTGAATGTCTATAACCATTATCACAATATTGGTTGCAAATTTTCCGGCTTCACTTATTTTCAGTGTATTTACTCCATCGATTGTTTGTATCGATTGTTTAAGTACACAATGTATACAGCACATTTTTAATGTGGATTCCCTATTTTCAATTTATCTGTCCTCTGGATGTCTTTAAGTATTGGCAAGATTATGCTTCAAATTTTCAGGCATTGATTCTTGTTTATTTTTTCAGTAAACTTACATAATCGATTGTTTAAGTACACAGCAAAATTCCCGTATAGTAGTTAAGTTAGGTACCATACTGGGCCCATTATACACCTAAGCTATTGTAACATCTGTGCCTACTTATGGTAACAAGAAATTATTATTAATATTATTACAACGTGTACAGCAAATTTTTAATATGGATTCACTGTTTTCAATTTATCTATCCTCTGGATGTCCATAACTATTGCCAACATTGTGTTTTAAATTTTTAGGTACAAATTGATGCTTATTTTCAGCGTTCTTGCACAATCGATTGTTTATTTTTTTCAATAATAATAATCCATTAAATAATCCATTATTTTTATTTATTATTTATTTTTATTTATTTATTAAGTACACAATGTATACAACAAAGGTTTAATTTGGATACACCGTTTTCAATTTATCTATGCTCTAGAGTCTAAGAATTGGCACTATTATGCTTCAAGTTTTCAGATATTGATTGTTGCTTATTTTCAGTGTAGGTACTTACACATTTGATTTATGAATCGATTGTTTAAGTACACTACGTATACAGCAAAATACCCATATGGTAGTTAAGTTAGGTACCTGCCAATCAAATTTCGTGTAAATTCTTTCATTCGAATGAAAGTTTGTAGGTCCTTTGCAGAGCAAGCTCTCCACTTCTGTCAACTATTAACCGACTTTTCTTTTTTATACGAGTTTGATGCGTAACACTTTATAGCGGTGACTACAAAGTGTTGCCAAAAATAGAAAGAAATCTTGTGTTCATTAAAAACATTGTGTTCCAAGTTTCCCGGCAAAAATTGTTGATTATTTTCAGTGTATTTACGCTATCGACTTTTTGTATCGATAGTTTAAGTACACAATGTATGTAGCAAGTTGTAACAGAAATTCACTGTTTCCAATTTATCTGCCCTCTGGATGTGTTCAAGTATAGGCACTATTATGCTTCAAGTTTTCAGGAATTGACTGTTTGATTATTTATCTCATATTGCTCATTGTTGCTGATTTTTAGTGTACTTATACAATTGATCGTTAAAGTACACGACGTGTACAGCAAACTTTTAATATGAATTAACTGTTTTCATTTTATATGTCCTGTAGATGTCCATAGCTATTGCCAACATTGTTTCAAATTTTCAGGAATAAATTGTTGCCTATTTTCAGTGCATCGTACTGTGTCGATTTTTTAAGTATTTACACGACGTACATAGCAAAATACCACTATAGTGGTTAAGTTAAGTACTTAATATCAAACTTCGTATAAGTACCTAAATTAGGATGATATTTTGCGGGTACATAAGGCAAAAATATTTACTTCATTACTCTCTGCTCTTCTCTCAACTGTTAACCAATTCTTCGTTTTTTATGCGATATTGGTGTCTTAGCGGAAATACAACATTATGTACGGTGGGTGGTGGCTACAAGTATTTGATAGATAGTGCCGAGTTTCGTTCTGTTCATTTCTTCCACTTTATCTGGATATTTAACTCTACTACCGTAATTGTGTAACACAATTGAAGGCATTGCACGAAGTTTGGTTTTTTAATATACCCGTTGACTGTTTGCTACGTATTGCAGTCGGCTTTCTTAAAACTTATATTTTACAAAAGCGGATCACGATGGGAAAAGGACGAAGCTACTGTGGGGATGCATATCTTATTTTGTATAATAATTATGATCAATTTGTATAACTACCTTAATCATATGAATAATGATAGCTACAAAATTATTAAATTTACAGACACTAAATAATTATGATATTTCAATTGTTAAATTCGTTATTACTTCTATTTATTGAAAATACCATACATTATTGCCGGATGGTCGAGTTCCGAGTGCCATAGGCGCATCCCGCAGCATAAGCACACCCCGTATTTGAAATACGACCACGCGCCGCAGGCCGAGCGGGAACCCACCGTAGATGGGGTACAGGGCTCGTAAGTAATAAAATGACTTGATTTGCCTATGTTACGCGACACGAATGTTGTCACGACTAAAGGTAAACTTTGTGTATTTCCGTGTTTGATTCTCTAATCCAATAAGGCTTTTTGACACTTGTCATTGCAATTACTTATTTTCATATTAAGACAATAGAATTATGACTACAGACTCAACAGTATAGTCCCACTCTTACAATTCTTATTTCATTATTGTATACAAAAATAGACCTAAGTTTCCACCTTACGTTATCGTGGTGGATTCGTTTATTATGCCTGATATCGCTTTGTATGCACCTGATTCAAACAAATTGTATATTACGAGTTCATTTGCATTAAGTACCTACTGTTGACAACGAAATGTTTTTGAATTTAAAATTTTATTTTTATGTGCGTGTACAGTTACGATCGACTTAACAATAGATTATTAAAAAACTCGTATTTGTAACATAGTCAAAGAATATGTAAACTACAATGTAAATTATTAACAAACAGTTGTCAAAACGAGCATTGCGCGGTAACAATGAGACAGTTTGCACTTATTTGCTCAAATGTACCTAATATTTATGGACGTTAAGTTTGTGAAGTTTGTGTTTTATCCTTGTCTTTAATAAGTGTTTCGAAGCTTTTGGTTTTCCATAATATAGAATAAACAGATTATTATAGAACAGTCGAGCGCGTCAAGGACCGATTATTATTTGTTGAAGTAAGGTTAGTTCAGCTTAGAACAGTAGAATATAACAAAGAGACGATTTTAGCTGATTTTACATCATATATGATCATACTAACATAGAGCTAAATAAAATTAGCATTTATTTGTACTATATCATAACACTTAAGTTATCCAAATGATTGATACCATTAAGTTATGAAAATGTGCTTATTATTACCTGTCTGTTGAGTCATTGCCGTAGTTGCAAACTTTCTTACCACTACCTCACCTCATTTGAAGTAGGACATTGTACCGCCTCATTTTTTCAAATGAGGTACTCCCTCAAACTCAATTAAGGTAATAAAACAAATATTCATATACTACAATGTTCTTTTATTAAAATATAAATAATAAATTAGTCATTCACTCTCTCAGAAGTGATCAACAAATAGGACAAATTTCATTAAATGCAGTATTTCTTAATATTATAGTAAAGAGTAAACCAAAGATTCAAAGGCAATTATTTACAAACATTATGCATAAAATTAAAACCGTATAATAACGACAATAAATAATCTTATTAACTATTATTGATATTTGTTTGATAATGTTCCGAATTAAGTGCTCTTACAATATAACACAAAATTTTCCATTCTCAATTTTCCATTTAATTTACAATTGTAATTCAAATTTAATTGGATACGGTACAAATGATGTGATGATTTGCAAAACTACATATACAGTTTTTACACATTTTGTGTACATTCAATACTAACATCCAAGTTGTATCGTATTACCATGTTAATTTCGACAGTTTTTGTAAGTAATTGTACCTTTAGCATAAGTTTATAGTCACGTACGTTGATAGCGACCATGTAGAAAATTTATATGTAAAATGTTACTTCTTATTGAGACTACTAGAGGGCGCTGTAGCATTTGCCATATAAAATTGTCAAAGACTGCACCGATCGCTAGCGTCAACTGTCATATTAAGATCATGGTAGAGGTACTGAAAACAACAGTTAACTGGTTTTATTTGCAAGAAACAATGGTGCGTATATTATATAGATTAATTGTTGAAGTACTAAATGCAATCTCGTCGACAAACCGAGTTCTTAGGTTTTCGCGATTGTTACGCATAGGAAATGAAACTATTTTTCCGGATTTAAATCGCGTATATTTGTTTTTTCAAACAAACCGACGTTTCGGGCCCTTTACAGGTCCCATGGTCACGGTTGACTGAGGTGGTACAGTCTTCAACCAGTTATGTCTAATATTAATGCAAACCACCCTATTTTTTCACTATAGTTACAATAGTTAACTTAACTATGATAAAAAACAAATATACGCGATTTAAATCCGGAAAAATAGTTTCATTTCCTTCGTCGACAAACGTCAAATTCAGCAAAGTAAAATTATACTTAATTATTCCGCTATATTTGTTTTGTTATTTACTTAATAAAGGCTATAAAGTGAATATAATTAATTAAATTCTAATACTGTTTACCCTACTTGAACCAACAAGTCATTGGCTCTGTATTTTTGTTTCTCGAATAAATAGTTTACTAAACAGTTTAGTTGACTAAACATGTTTCTCTTCACTTGTAATACGTTTTATTTTATTAATTTTAATTTAAAATTTACAATGCTGTAAACTAATATGAGTGACATAAGTTATTTTATAGCATTGTAAATTTTAAATTAAAGTTAATAAAATAGTATTTGCTCAGTCGTTATTTACATAACATAAGAATGTAGGTTATATAATATTCTTGGGGCACACACTCCGGTCAGCACGCTATTTAAACGTCTATTGCGGATTATTGTATTTAGCATGAGCATGCGTCGCTCACCCGACAAACAATGTATTTCTTCGCATTGAAAGGTGACGAGAGCTGTAAAGCCATAGCACACTGGCTTTGTTTATCGAGTATGAAATAGTAAATTTGTTTTGCAATAAACAAAGCAAAATACGCGAAGAATTTTAATACATGGATATTTAATTATATTATAAATAACGTGTAATAAAAGTAATAATAAAATCGTGGCAATGAGAGGACTCTACCAAAGACCATATAAAAAACTTTTATAGTGTTTATAATAGGGATTCCTATCTGATCATTTTGAAATGTTTTGCAGCTTTTGTGCATGGTAATAATTGTCGTTTATTGTTCAAACGGGACTGACATAACGATAATGCCAGCGGAATTTAAAACAGATGAACCGAAAATTGCAAGGTAGGTTTATACTTGATTCAATATGAACTGGCGTGCTTCCACTTGAAACCATAATTGTAATAGCAACAATAATAGGATTAAATGCTAACGGGTAAACTTTTTGCAAATGCTTGCAATGGGCGGCACCTCAAACGACTTGACACTTTCTCTATTTCTTATCTTTTTTAGCCTGATAATATTTGCAACTTTAAATATTACACGATTGTTTCCCAAGCTTCGAGGTGGTCAATTTTATATCACTAAATCATTGACTTACAATAAATGTATATTTTATAACTTTATTAATAAATAACATAACATTTAATTTCTGCAAGTTGTGAAAAAGCAGACAAAATTTTAAATGATTCTATAAATATTGAAATTTATATCGTCTAATTTGAATGTCAAAATATATCAGTTACTACATCGTAGTACAAAACAAGATAACACCGAAATGTCTCCTTTAAAAATACATAGTTTTTTGAGTGTCTTGTTTTGTACCCTTATTGTTTACATTCAAGTGAAAACACGCCAGGTAATATTGAACAAACTACGTTTTTTCCTCTTATCGTGGTTTGTAATAGAACGAAAAACAAAATGGCCAAAAATTTTAACTAATATATTCTTTTTTGCACCAAAAATACTTCAGAAAACTTAATTATAGAAAAAGTGTGCAAAGGTAATTAACGATACAAAAATAACACTTGCAAGGCCTGTGATAAACAGTCAGATACAATGGCTTATATACTCGATGGTTACAATTGACCGCAAAAATATTTTGAATTTTCTTTTAAAATTCTCTCATTAACACCTGATAAACCCTAGAAAAGCCAAAAAAAAAGGTAATAAAGTATTTTTCAATCTTGTCTACAGTGACAATTTTCTAGCTAAAATAAATCAAGTATACGTTAAAGCAAACAAAAGTATTATCCTTAAGCGTCGAACGGTTTTAATAGTGGGAATCGAAGAGCCTACATCATCTTTGAGAGCTAAACCAATGAAAAAAAAGGAGAAACACACCATCAACTCCCTTTTGTATCAAGAATATAATGACAAGAATGAGCTGCTTAATAGCTTTTTGATGCGCAATTTGAAAGACGTGTCAATATTCTTCAAAGAATTTCTTGAGACAGATATATGTTATGGTGAATGTGAAGCCTCAGATGACGTTGTAACTGCAAGACACGCAGGTTAACCAAGAGCCTTAAATTTTGTTATAATAGATCTGATGAGCTTTGATTAAAAGTTGAATAATAATAACATATTACACACTAAGGGTTTTTCACTATCTTTACATTACATTACATTCGTTATCCTCCTATTAACGACGCTACTACATCTGGAGGGTAATGGGTACGATCGAGAAAGTCCTCTTCAAAAGCCTGTAAAAAAGAGATTAAACTTATTGTATTTGTTAATAGCGTACGTTAATAAAGATTAAATTGTAAGGGAATAACTTACATCTGGTTTATATTCTGGTTCAGTGGCAGACGAAAATTCTATATTTTCTATTGATACTGCATCAACGGGGTTTTTATATGTTCCAGCTTCAGGTGAGATTTCCGTACCCATAAAGTTGATATTCATAACATCGCCTTTATCGAGTCGAGAGAGAGAGTTCATTTTGTCTTCGACCATTGAATTTCCGGCGCTGTATCCGTAATCGACGATATCCCCGCCAGAGCTAAAAAATGTTGCGAGTTTCATAATTTCTTTGTATTTATTTACATTTTGCTTTGGATTGTTTTTCTGTTGAATTTTCATATTTAAAACTTTATGTGGAAGAAATTCGTCAGAAGCAGTGCTACTCCACTGTTGAAGAAATTTATTAAAATCAAAATTGTACAGATTATTATTCCCTTCCCGGTAATAATAAAGTGGCGGCATCTTAATATCCATAATCATAGAACTTATTGCGTCTTTCAAATGAGCTTCTTTGTATTTTGGTATATCATAATTTTTGATAAAAACATCTTCATTGAACAACTCAAGGTCTTTCTTAAGGTTTCTACAAAAGGAAATTGTGTAGAGTAATTTTTAAAAATGTTTGATGATGTATAATATGTAAGTACAGGTAATAAAAAATATTACGATTTTTTTCTGGCAAAAAATATGTTCATACAAACGAATTGATTTAGCTTTATTTTTGGAACGGAACACTCATGGTTCTCATGTGAATAGTTTTGACATGATTCGTAATGGGATTATTATAATTAAATGATTAAAGTCACTGGTTTAAGGAATAAAGATACCCTTTAGCATATAAAACATGCTAACGATGGCCAACTGTAGACATAAGCGTGAAGTTATTCGCCCATCCCTATTAAGGTTGAGCTTGCTTCTTTTAGTTTTTCAAACTCTTAAGTAAATTATAAAATATATACATATAGCACTATTATTACAATAGTGTTGTGACTAAACATACGTGAAATTCACGGTTATCTCTCTCTACACGCCAATACAACCGTCGTCGTTAGAATATTAAAAGATATCTACTTAACTCTAAATAAGACAAACCTTTTGTGATCTAGTTCTGGACTAAACAGTTCTTACTCAACAATATGAAATTACTGTTCCCTTTTAATTTTTAATATATTTCACAAGTAGGAAATCGTTTACATGTCTATAATAAACTTTAACTTATAAGTACATGAATTTTCATAATCTTTCATGGGAAGTGACTAATTCGTTTTTCATCGATTCTGAAAAAAATACACTTTTTGAGTTGATACACTATTGTAATAACAGTGTACTAAGTTATTTATATAAATACAAATATATGAAATAGCCACTGTTTTAAGATAAAGGAAAATTTTTGGGAAAAAAAGGAAGGAGTTTTCAGTATTCTGGAACCACAATTAGGGCAGCAGTGCGACGTAGGGTTGGTAATTAACATACAACATTTGAAAGCCACGTTTTCACATTTTTACTTACCGGAAGTTATTAGCTCTAACAGGATTTTCCAATCTGCCGTCATTGTACTGACGGTAATTGTAGTACGCTGCAGGTACATACGGAGAACGTGTTATGATTTCAAATCCCGACGGGCCGATCGTCCCCCGGGGAGAAAAACTTGCAACGATTGTTAAAAGTTGAAAAAGCATGAAGTGCGCCTGCGAAAAACATATCACTTGAAATGTATTAACATTCACATAGCAGCAGTAGAGCTCCTTGTGAAAGAGTCCGTCCAGGGAAGTACTGTCACCTTACCTATTTCTGCCGCCAAGCAGTAATGTTAGCATTACTGCGTTCCGGTTTAGAAGGGTAAGGTAAGGGTGCTGGTGCACATGGGACTTGTCAACTTATGTCTCAGGGTGACGAGCGCAGTGGCAGTGCCCCTCAGATCTTTGCGTTTTAAAGCTCTGAGTGGCACTGCAACTGTTAAGGACAGGCGTGTAGCTTACCATTAGGTGCACGACTTATATTATAAAAAAAGACGATATTATAAAAAAAAAACATATCCAACTGGAATTTGGTGAAATTTTACAGACATTCCTCTGTACAAAAAATTTACAAGAACTTTGATAATTGCACACATCGTGCATACTAAAAAAAACTTACTATTTACGTGATAATATAATATATTTTTCTGAATAATATAAATTAGTTTAATTCAATGTGTAAATATAGCATTTTTTTGGAACGACCGATTATGTTACACCATTATATGTATACATTAAATTTTAAATTCTAAAGAAAGCTTACCTTTTTTACAACATGACCTTGCATATTGGTTTTGAATAGTCCCACTGTTGTCTAAAATAATCCTGATTGCACTACACGCTGACACTGTTCGATATGGTTACAATGCGGATCAAATTTGCGTTATAACTCACCGATGTTTGATTCATGAGTGTGGAGGAAAACTCTCGAGGCTTTGGCTAATATTGTCGGAACGTGTTATCCGATTTGAATACCTACGATTTTTGTGCAACTCTAATGACTACATCGTTGTGATGACTGATGAGTTAATTGTAATAACCATTGTTCCATCTTGGTCAAATATCTTCTACCCGTCACAAGTAAACAAATAACAATGCTTACACATTGGCTCATTTGTTTAAGTATTGCAGCAAAAAAAAAACTGTTTAATAAACCGTTTTCGACTTGTATAAGTCCAGTACATTTTTTTTACACACACTTTTTTTTTACACTACCACTAATTTAGGTAACTGTCATAGAAGAGATTGACGTAAATATATAACTAATGGTGCAATAATATAATAATAATACTGCATTCACTTCAGTTGATTTCGGTCCGTAAATGGGGTTCAAACCAGCTAAGAAGCTGAGAAGACTAAAGTTATTTAATAATAATAATAAATTCAAAATTAATCTTTTTAGGCCTTCGGAGAGGCGAGAGTCTAAAATAGATACAATAATAATAATAACGATGATAATGATGACGATGATGATAATTTAAAAAATCAGGTGACGGAAGGGCCGGTTTTAGCGGCACTGCCTCCTGATGTCGTAGCATCATTGTTAGGAGGAAAATTGGGCAAAACTTGATATTTCGCATCGTGGATCTGCACGCTAGACAACGCAAAATAAATTCGTTTAAAAAACTTTTTTTTCATAGCCCCGCACTAGGGAAACCCTGTGTCGCGGGTGCCATGGACACACACATAGACAACCACAAATTACACCCAAATTCACGAGAGAAATAAATGTAGGCCATATAAATATACTTTGATTTGATACTTTGATTCCCGACACGGGAATCGACGCTGGGACCTTTGCGTGGCAGAAATTGACCAGTTGACGAAAATGGCGTATTAACGAAAATGACGAGTGGTCTCCTAATTCAACCGTTCGGCCACCTACACATTGTACACCAAATTAACAGATTGATCGTGAAATCAAATTATCGTCTAATTTTCCTCCTTTCTGTACGTAAAGTACAATTTTTGACTAAGTAGAGAGCTGCTTTTCATTCAATGTCTGTTTTTCGTGATCGTAAGAAGTTCCAGAGTGAACTTTTGGAGCAATAAAACGTTATGATTTAATAAGTATTCAATTTAGATTAGGTGTTCAGCTAACATTATCAAGAGGTTACTCTAATAACTCGGAGACCATACGTCACTCAAAGCATTCTAGAATACAAATTAAAATGATTCAACTTGCACGTAATACAGTTTATGGAAATAAATAATAATTAATAAAAAAAACCTCGCTGAATCATCATTTAGATTGAAATCTAACTTTTAATTTTTATTGAAATTTTGTCTACGTGCCGTGGTGCACGGGTTTAGATTGCTCCAAGATTTTCGTTTTTCTGTCGTATTTCATGAGCGTGTGCGTTCTTGAGGGTGTGCGACTGCGTAGACGCAATGGCTGTTCGAGATGCAGTATCCCGGCTTGGTAGCGCCCACGCTCCAACTCAACTTCGGGACACGCTAACCGAGACATTGCATTGAGACGATATCGTCCGTGTTCTCGCTGCAAAATGCCTAACTTCACGCCCCGCTTTAGTGCCCTACAACATATACAATTTCAATTAACGTAATAACGTGAATCTATTTTGCAAGCGATGTTTTATAAAGTATTTATTATTAAAGGTACACAATTGACAGAGATGTTAGGAAAATATGTAGTTCCTAGGATACATAAACCACAAAGCATGCAGCCTTCTTAACAATTTCTGTGAACTTTCTGTGTGCTTAAACTACACTTTAAAACCAGTTTACAAAGTCTAAGTAAGCATAAAGATTAATTGCATTTACATACATGATAAAACAGAAATTCTAATAAAAGAAAATAATAAATAGGTTGCTATCAAAGACAAGAATATGTTCGGATTACCGTGTAACTTTCCGACTTATATTGGGACCTTTGAGTGAATATTCCATTTTAATAAACTTGACAATAGTACGCGCCGTCCATGCTGTGTTCTTCGTGAGCTTTTTGATAGCCGAAAGAACTAATTGTCCCGTGTTGTTCTTTGAGAGTTTATTTCTGGTATAGCGGAATATTCTTTTTCTACTAGTTTTCGCCATGCCACGTGAACTTCAATTATAAAAAAAATTATTGAATATTGGAGCCAAAGAGTTTATTAGTTATTTTATTTATAATAATGCACCATGCTTGAAACTGTTTAAATACTAAGCGTTATTATAATTTCCTTACCTTAAAATTTTATGAATCTATAACACCTAAAAATAACAGTGTCCAAAAGGAGACCAAAGAGAATACTGAGACATTTTTCTTGTGTGACGTTTACCACGGATATTGGCTCTATAAATTCTGAAAACGTTTTATACAGACTCTTTATTCTACACAATATTTAATATCTCTTTAGTATGGGGATTCTGTCTCTCGATCTGTGCATCAATAATAATAACAAAATAGTGGAGTATTTTCACAAAAAATATGTAAATATCATGGTAGTTAACATCATGATAATAAATATTGTATAATAATATATTCAATAAATAAATATTGTTTAACACTGCGAGACTTTTTCTGGTTGTAAAGGTATCTGTTTGCACTCCAGTCACTAAGAAAAAAAAAATTGTAGCTATTTATTAAGATTTTTTTGTAAAATAACTTCACTTTGTCATTCACAAGTTTTGTTATGGTTATGAATACAAAGATCGAACCCACAGAAACATTTTTTTCGTCGACCCGATGGTACTTGAATCCACGTTCATGCTGCACCGTAGCATTGCTCTAACCATCTGAACCAGGTCCTTTCCGAGTCGTCGAATAGATCGTTATAGATCTTTGTACTGACTTTCGGCATTCGTCGCCGCTAGTGACATCTAGTGAGAGATTTTTGAATAACCTTCTCACTTTTGATATATATGTATATCATAAATGCTAGCTATTTCGTCGCCTTACTTTCTCAAACTCGTATCTTGTAAAGAATGATTATTCAGGAAAAGGCAAAACTTTCTATTTATTTTAAATTTATAATACTTTAACAATATGTAAAAGCTAGTACGTAGTATGTACGTGCGGCGCAATATAAGTTTCCGGAATGAATAAAGAATTTATTGTTTCTCAAAATATTCTCCGTTAGCGTTAATGCACTTTTTCATACGAATGAACCAATTTTGAAAACATTTATGCAACTCCTCTCTGAAAGATATGTTTCATACTCTTCGACAGCCTCTTCAGGTGATAAAAATCGTTGACCGCGTAACTGGTTCTTAATTTTTGGAAATAAATAAAAGTCACAAGGTTGGGATTGTACGCGGGATAGCTCATAAGGTCAACGTTGTTCACCTTCAAAAATTCATTTGTCTGTATGGCTGTGTGAGAACTGGCATTATCGTGGTGCAAGATATACGGCGTTTACGGTTATTTTTACTGAGTTTGTCAATAACTTCCGGCAAACAAATGATCGTGTACCAATCACTATTCACAGTACAACGATTCTCCAAAGCAACAGTAGCCACGTGTCCCGTTTTAAAAAAAAAGAAGCAATCATTCGCTTAGAAGCACTTTGCAGGCGCGTCATTTTGAATGGTTTCGGCTCATCTCAAAAGACCCATACGCTCGATTGCTGCTTTGTTTTGGGATCGTAACTATAAATCCATGTTTCATCATCTGTTACTACACCAAATTTGACGCCCCTTCGTTGAATCTGGTAAACATGGCATTGCACCAAGTGACGCGATCCATTTTTTGAGTCTCAATTATATTGTGTGGGATCCACCAAGAGCACAGCTTTTTCACACCCAAATGCTTGTGTAGTATTGATTGTATTTGACTCATGCCTATATCTAACGATGCCCGAATCTCATGGTATATTACATGCCTGTCTGTTTTGATCATACGGCGCACAGCATCGATGTTTTTGTTGTTCACAGCAGGGTAAGGGCGACCATCATGAAATTCGTTAGTGAGATTCACACGACCGCGTTTGAAATCTGCATACCAGCTATAAATAGTCGTCTTGCATGGTGCTACATCGCCAAAAGCAGTTTGAAACCGAGCGAAGCTCCGCTGAGCTATTAAATTACATTTAAAGTCATTGACTTACAATTATATGCACGTCGGGTCCGCGCTAAAAAGTGTCCGAACTTATAGGGCGTTAAAATCGTATACAGAGCGTCATTCACGCTTTAGTCTTCGTTTGTTTCTTCTGACAGCGAAGCAAGCAAAATTAGACAGTACTGCGATGACATTGCAATTAAAATTCAATGTTTTAGCTTTTTCATATTCCTTTACATGTCACTACGTTTAAATAGGTTGACTGGGGACATTTTTTTCGTGGTTTTTGTATTAGACCCGTCGTCCATTTATTTGTAAGTCAATGTTTAAAGTCGTAGAAAATCATACCTCGAAAAGTTTCACGAGTTAAATCCATGGTGATTTAAACAACGAATTTCTAAAATGACGCCACAATGTAAAAACAAGTGACAGTCAGATGAAACAAACTGTATCCTACAGCTAAAGAGTTCCATTTTCAAATAATATAATTACTTTTTAAATATTGTTTATGTAAGTAGCCAGTTCCGGAAACCCATTTTTTGCAGAAAGTAAGGCGATGATTTTCTATAAACAATGGACGCCATCTACTTTTTGTTAATTAATACTTACCTGGCTGAACGAGAAAACTTCATAAAGTTTGCCATGAGAGGCGCTTACAGTCCTATATCTTTCAACATAAGTTTTGTGTATAGGGCCACTCCCTATCAACCTCTTGGTTATACAGGAAGGACACTATGACCTGTGCAAGCGAGCTTGCACAGGGACCATCTTAGTCAGATCCTAACCCCGGATCAGCACGTTTGCACGTACTTCATCCGGTTCTCTGTAAGGCTAGTGCCTTAGGTGAGCCGGACGTGCCGGAGCTGTAGGCACGCTCACTTCCCGTCGCGCTACGCACAACTAACGGTTGCAACCGCTGAGCCGCCGACTCTAAGCCGACTACCAAATTTCCTAATTGGTGGCGGAGCGGTAAGTCACGCTCACTTACCGACGCCGAATGAACGGCGTCTCTCCAGTTCCCAAATTCCTACACGGCCGGAGGGACCGGAAGATGTCTAGCTCATCCTCTACTAGCTCTCCGGCCTAGTGGCGGAGATGCCAAGTGGCAGTGTCCTGTGACAATATCGGGACATAGCCACCGAATTAAAGGGCAACTCACGTGGCCCGCGCGTCTCATCGCCTCAGGCCCTCAACTAGACCGCTACTAAGACGCGCAAGCTGCGCGCGAGACGTACGCCCCGGTCACATGCTGCCGTGGCAGACGAACGTGTTCGTCCGTTCGTTTGAACGTGTCCCTGCAGCTAACCACAAACTCCGGCGAGTCCATACCCAAATCCGGGTCCACCAGAGACGCACGTGAAGACGTATAACTGGCGGAGGACTTAGCCCGGACGCCCGGCGTACCCTGGTCTTGCCGTCGAGCCCGTAGTCTCTCCGTAAAACCCTGTCTCTCGGGTCAGTAGATAGGGACAAATGAGTGGCGCTTACAGTAAAAGTACTGTTTAAACTCAATACGAAGATTTGTACAGGCAGTTTCCCATGGCCCGGTTGGTTTCACGGGTCTGGCGCGCCGTGCTAGCTCGCGCCAACGCTTCGTGGGAACAGGGTGCGTCTGTTCGTATTCGGCACCGTGGGTAGTAACCTCAATGGCGCAGGTTTGCGCGCGGCCCGAGGCAACGGAAATCACGGGCTGGTGAGAAGACAGCATAACAAAGCACATGGACAAATTCGTAAGATCTGCTGACTCGGTATGTAGCTCTGTTGGTAAGAGCGATAGCCCCGGCATGGCAACAGACGCTGGTTCGAATCCACTCAGATCGAAGGAATTTTCGACTGACAGACAAATGAATTTTTGAAGGTGAACAACTTTGACCTTATGAGCCATCCCGCGTACAGTCCCGACCTGGCACCTTGTGACTTTTATTTATTTCCAAAAATTAAGAACCTATAACTTTCGCGTTGCATTATACTAACATTTGGAAACGGGAATAAACGCATTTACATACGAATAGGTATTTTTCACACCTACCTTTGTTTCCCGATGTTTCGGCCAGTTTGCACTAGTCGTGGTCACGGGCTGACTGGTAGGTAGGTGTGAAAATACCTATTCGTATGTTAACGCGTTTATTCGCGTTTCCAAATGTTAATACTTGAAGAGGCTGTTGAAGAGTATGAAAAATATGTTTCAGAGATTGTCATGGAGGAATGGCATAAATGTTTTCAAAATTTGTTTATTTGTATGAAAAATTGCATTAACGCTAACGGAGAATATTTTGAGAAACAATAAATTCATTTCTGCCCATTTATAGCATTTTTTTCTTGTTCATTCCGGAAAAGTGCGCCTCACGCATAATCATTCTCATCGATTTCCTCTATTTCGCACTCTCGATTTACTTAAAAAGTGGCAAATATGTCTAATGAAAATATTATATGAAAAAAATATAAAATATCTGATTGTAAAGCTGATAAATACAAACATTAGTATATGGTTGGTTCTTCCCTAAGTCGTTTTATAGCCAAGGTAATCTGCGCATCATCGGAGAACGGCTACGCGGTGGTTTTGCAATTAACTTGTTATAAATTCCTGTTTGTAGTGTTAATAATCTCTGTACAGAGTACTAAAAGAACCGACCTCAAAATTTCGTAGAATTACATCTATTTGCCAAGTTTTATTGAAATCGGTTACCAGAAATTGCGCAAACCCGGATTCATCTCCTAGTTCGCCGTTGTACGGGACTTAACACAGGAGATAATAAAAATCGGTGCTCACTGCTTAAAGTATATTTAGAGAAAAACCCTCAAATTTGAGCTTAACAGAATCAACTATTAAATAAATGCTCCTTATAATAAAATTTAGACGCTATTTATAAAAATGAGTCTTCATGCGTGAACAGCTACGATATAAAAAGAAGATAAACTTTCTGACAGTGTCATGTAAAATATTCATAAAATAAACTCAAAAAATTAAACAGAACAGGTGCTTGTCATAATATGTCACCGTCACCCGTGGTGACTCTGAATATAGTGGACCAGAGGCTGCTGCACCGTTTGCTGCGCACTTTGAATCT